GGTGGAACCAAACTGCTGCTCAGAAATAATTAAAAAAAAAAAAAAAAAGAAAAACCACAAGTGGCTGCACATACAGAAACCAGAATCTAAAAGAAACAATATGCTTCAGAAGTTAAAAAAAAAAAAAAAACACATTTTTCTGTGTTTTGAAAATGTAATAAAATGCATAAACTGTGATTCCTATGTACTTTTTCATGTTTAGAGGGGGAAAAATATCCAAAACAGAATGATTGAGTTTTGCTTCTCCTTAATAAAATCAACAACCCCACATTTTAGAGTAGTTTTTACTCCCGTGCCTTTAAATTATGGCAGCTGATATCATGGCACTGTTCCCCTAAGGCCGACAAGCTTGCCCTGATCCTCTTCCCAATTCAATTCCATATGTCATTAGCTAGTGGGAAGGATTGTTCTGTCTGAGTAATTCCAGGTCAATACAACAAAGGCTTAATATGCAGCAGGGGTCATTGATATAGATCTGCTTTTCTTATTATATATTTTCAAGAGCCTTTTCCAGGTACAAAATGCTATATGCTGCATATCTAAAAGGGTGGAGGAGGGGGGCGATCAGTTATCAAAGTCTGCATTGTACTTAATTTCCAACACAATAAAGTAGGAGTCTGGCATGTGGTCCAGAACTCGGGTCTTTCATATGACTGCACTATGCACTGCTGTTTGGCACGCCTGCGCCGGCTCTAATTGGACATAGGGACTTGAGCTATGAAAGCTCCCTTCATGAATTCTGTCTGGGCAAAACTCTAGGCGTTAACCCCTTTATTCCAGAGGCAATACAGAGACACATTTTACATATGGTTACAAAGAATGTGGGAGTAGAGGGATACTATAGTATGGACCAGTTTGCATGGCCCTAGGTGCCATAAACCAGTCATTTGTTTTCCCTGGTACAAAATACATGTGTGGGGGGGAGGGATCTTTGATTTTCTGGTAGGGAAAATAGGAGATGTCAGGGTTCAATGGTACCTTTTCAATCTGACAAACAGCGTGATAACACACGTTAATATGTTGGCACTGAGACCTTTCTGACATTTGAAATAAAAGGTGATAATTTCAGTCACTGTGAAAAGTTCATGTGGGTAACTCCGTCACGTGGGACATATTACAGTGTAACCTCTCGCTGCAGACAGTGGCTACATCTACCCTGACTGTGACATATAGCTCCAATTAGCACTTAAGGAAAGAGACTTTATAGACTGCACACTCACCTCGGCTCAGCCCGTCAGGTCCCCGAAGAATTCGGCATTCTTCTATCTGGCCGAATGGAGAAAACATCACCCTGATATCATTCTCATTACACTTCTTCGAAACCATTCCTATGAACAATTTTCTGTCTTCCACAGCTAGAAGATAAAAATAATGAATGAGCAAAGGCCATTTCATCTTTTTCCTGTGATCAATGCTTCATTACCACATCAAACCAAGCTCCAGTCATGTGAGTCTGGCTCTGCAACTGAAGACAAGTCCTAAGGCAAACACTTTATATTTTCAACCCTTCCCCCTCTTCCTCCCTGAATCTCTCTCTCTCTCTCTCTCTCTTCTTTTGTGGGTGCTATTGTCATATTAGTTGCATGAATAAGACATTTTTCATCCCCCTCCCCATCAGGATTTCTAAGAGAAGGAAGCATCCTGTGTCAGAAACTCAAGATATTTTTGCATAGATTCTAATTTGAATATGTTCCCTCTCTCCCCCCCCCCCCCCATTTCCCAAATGTATGAAAGGAAGCAAGACAGGCAGCGGGTGGCGGTGGTGATGCGGAGTGCACATAATAAAATGAGTTAATGAAAAATACTCTACAAAAACATTCTTATATGAAAAGGATCCTAGCTTTCCATTTCAACCAGCTGTAATGCATGGCACTCAGAAGCAGGTTTGTAGTGACTGCAATGTAAAGAATAATGCATTACATTTTCCTCTCTTTTCCCATAATGACCCAGTAGTCTCTCTTCAAATGGACACAATGTATGTTCCAGGGCAGCACTTCAACAAGGAGAGTGCATATTACTTTCCAAAAGCCAAATCCTTTGATTGGTAATGATGTTGAGTTTGCAAGAAATACAACAAGCACTTTGCCAAAGATATCGGTAGATTATCTCCTTTTTACATCGTCCACGCGGCCAGCGTAAAGTAGGTCGTTCTAGCTGGGTGTGTATGCTGGCTCTGAAGTTTAAAAGAAGCTCAAGTCATACACTGGTGATAAAGATGGAATAAACTGCAATAACCGAACTCCAATCTGGAAGACTTAATGCTAACTCACAATCTCCCTATATTTAAAAAAAAAATCTAAGAGCTTATTATATGGTACGTACAATGCTCCTTTCTTCTGCTATTGAAATGGCATGCAAATCCAATTCACTGTTAATGAGCAGACCGCCAGAATTTTGCAGGAAGCAAACACAGACGGAAAGCTTTACTCCAGAGTATCTGTGGTGCACTTATTTATTTCTATTGTGCAAATTATTTTTCTAATGAAGTATTTTCATTTCTGGGCTTATAAAAAATGAATCTTCCTCTGCACCCCGACCCACCCTGCATGTATTAGCATGTGTTTGTCAAACAGAATAAATTGCAGCTGAGAAGGAAGAAACCTGTATATTTTCATGGGATTTTACTGGTATTGACACTTTTAGTGCCCTTAACATAATTTCAGAGATAAAAACCGAGGCTAATGTTTATTGAAGACAGAAGGGGTATTTGGAGTAATTTTTTTTTTAACTGGGTAGTACTTCTTTACTGAATGGTTAAGAAAGGCATTCTGCTATTTTACACAAGCAAGCATAGGGAAAATGCATTTTCCAGAACCCCAAAAGCTAATGGAAATGATTAAAAAAAAAAAAAAAAGGAATTTAGATGCAAGTTGGGTCCATGATAGTGCTTGATAGGGCACAGTTGTTTTACCATTTATTACATCTATGATTACATCTATTAATCATTTGTTCATCCTTTATAAACAGAACCATAACAAAGTGTGACCCATATTTTTTATAGGTATTTGTACTATTAAGACCCATTTTACAGATGCTGAAACTGAGACACAGAGAAGTCACGTGGCCTGTCTAGGGCCACATGGTGATTGAGCAGTAGAGCAGGGATCAGAACTCAAGAGTCCCTAGCTCCCAGCTCCTACAAACGACACTGCCTCAGCCAATTAAGCAACTGTACTCTAGCCCCAGAGGGTGTCCCATCTGCTCCTGCTTACAGGGAAGGGTGAAGGCTTTTTATCTTCAAATGGAAGATGAAAAATAAGGGACCTTAATGGATGCAGGGGATCTCTTCTTCCAGCCTACAAAGAAAGGCGGAAGATGATACTCTGCCAAAGTCAAATGCGAAGATGCTTTTTAATTTTCCAGACACTAGCAGATGACAAACTCCTCACTGACCTCCTTCACTTTCACTAGTAAATCGACAAATATGCCATTTAACTAAAACGATTTTGCAGGTTTTCAGCTGGAGGGTGATTTTATAGTAAATTAAACACCCAGCTCCTGTGTACTGCACATCTTCAAAATGCACATTTCAAGGAAAATGCTCAGGGTGCAGAAGACATATTGGTAGGATGACGTGCCTCACAGCCAATGCTGTTTGGTACTGCTGATCAGTGGTAAACTTTAAGAAATTTGTAATTTTATCTTGGCTAAATGCCTAACCACACAGAATGTTTAAAGGAGCACTGCCAAGATAAAAACTGCATAGGCGCCTTACCTCTGTTGTAAGGCATGATGTCAATTTAAAACAATGTAATATACTTTCATGCAGAGAAAGGAATGATCTATTCCTATCAGCATAGGATGGGAGCCACAAATTCCTGGGTTCTTACACTGATTATCTCTATGTTCTTGGGCAAGTTACTTAACCTCTCTGCTTCGGTCTTTCCATTATAAACAAGAAGTGTTGTGGGGATTGATAGTTAAAGTGCTGTGAGGATTACAGGTCAAATACACCCAAACAATTTGGCAGGGGAGTGGGGGTCTCTACAGTAAAATGGAGGCAGCTCACAGATTTTGTCCATGTGGCTGGCAGTTTCACACTTTAACCAAGGGTTGCCAACTTTCTATTGGCACAAAACCAAACACCCTATCCCTGCCCCTTTCCCCGAGGCCCTGCCCCTGCTCTCTATATTCCCCCTCCCGCAGTGGCTTGCTCTCTCCCACCCTCACTCATTTTCACTGGGCTGGGGCAGGGGGTTGGGCTGTGGGAGGGGGTGAGGGCTCCAGCTGGGGATGAGGGGTTGAAGTGCAGGAGGGAGCTCCAGGCTGGGGATTGGGGCTGAGAGACTCGGAATGTGGGAAAGGGCTGCAGGTTGAGGCAGTGGGGATTGGGGTGTGGGAAGGGTGAGGACTCTGGGCTGGGGGTGCTGGCTCTGGGGTGAGGCCGGGGATGAGGAGTTTGGGGTGCAGGAGTGGGGCCGAAGGATTCGGAGTACGGGAGGGGGCTGGGGTGCAGGAGGGGGTGAGAGCTCTGGGGTGGGGCTGGGGATGAGGGGTTTGGGTTCAGGAGGGGGCTCCAGGTTTGGGGGGGGCTCAGGGCTGGGGTACAAGGTTGGGGCGTGGGCTTACCTCAGGTGGCTCCCGGTCAGCAATGCTAAGGCAGGCTGCCTACCTGTCTTGGCTCCATGCTGCGCCCCGGAAGCAGCCAGCAGGTCCGGTTTCTAAGCAGGGCACCGGGGGCAGGAGGCTACACGGCGCGTGCGCCTCTCGCCCGCAGGCACCCCCCTGCCAGCTCGGAGACGGTGTTTGGGGCAGGGGCAGCATGTGGAGCCCGGTGGCCCCCCCACCTAGGAGCCGGACCTGCTGGCCGTTTCCGGGATGCAGCGCGGTGCCCCAGGACAGCCACTGCACTGCTGACCAGGCAATTTAACGGCCTTGTCAGCGGTGCTGGCCGGAGCTGCCAGAGTCCCTTTTCGACCGGGTGTTCCAGTCGAAAACCGGACACCTAGTCACCCCACTTTAACCATTAGAGGTTGCTGTGCCACATATGTTACAGGTCATCATGTGCTCAGAGTTGAGCAGAGCCCCAGAAATGGTGCACACAGCGGGCAGGGCCGTAACGGGGAGAGGGGGGGGGACAAGCGAGGCAGCCGCCCAGGGCATAAAGCCCCAGGAGAGGAGAAATAACTAAAAAAAACCCCCCAAAACGGTAGGGGGTGCAAATATGCTTGCTCACCCCAGGTGCTAAAATGTCTAGTTGCAGCACTGACCATGGGACCAGGCCTCCTTCCTCTGATCTTGACAGCAGTGGCCTCACCTCCCACCACAGTGCAGGAAAGTGGAGAGTTAATGGAGAGAAGACCCCAGAGGAAGCCCCATCCCATGCAGGTTAGAGACGAGAGCCAGCTGTTGGAGCCTGGCCTGGGGGTTGGGGGAGGTTGGAATCTCAAAGCACTGTACAAAAGAGGTCAGCATCATTATCCCCATTTTATAGATGGGGAAACTGAGGCATGGGGAGAGGAAGTGATTTGCCCAAGGTCACCCAGCAAACCAGTGGCAGAGCCAGGAATGGAACCCAGGTCTCCTGAGGCTGAGTCCAGTGCCCTACCCTCTAGAGAACACTGTCTCCCATTTCTCAGATCTTATTTTCACCCTGTAATTGCCACCTACAGACATTTGGGGTGGACAGGAGCAGTTCAAAATTCAGAAAACAGATCAAAAAGCACGATTTATTTATTTATTTAAATCACTTTTTGCGGGGAGGAATTCGTTCTGGTGCATGGATTTTGGATTCAATACTGCTGTCTGGCTGCTTTGCACTATTTTGGCAATGTAAAGCAGACACAACCTGATGTATAACCTGCTAGTTAACAAATGTACGGATGCTTTGCATTGCCGGAGCAGGACAAAGCAGCTAGAGTGTACCAGTGAATCAAGCTCTGTAAATGTAGATTGGACCCAATCCTGAAGCTCTGTCTGCCTGGGTGGAGCCCTTGAGGAGTCCCATTGAAGTCGCTGCATTGCAGTAGAAAGGCATTAGTGTCTGATTTTTACACTTCACTCAGTTTGCTTGGACAGTGAAAATTGACTAATCTTTTTTCACTTCTCTGTTCCCAGTCCATCATTTCAGTTATGGATTCTCATATGTTAAAACCAAGGGGCTGTGTTTGGGATCACAGCACTACAGGAGAATGTTTAAACAATTAAATAATGAAATAATGCTATTAAGGTTTGCTAAACTTCTCTCTTTCTTCCCAGAAGCTAAAATTCTATCGTGAAAATACATGGCAGTGTCCCCTTAAGTGACTGAAGCTATCATATTTAAATACAACTAGAACACTATTTCCTTCTCAGAATAAGTTGTCCTCTCCTTTAAGCCAATCAAGTAACGGTTAATTATTTAAGTACAAATGTTTTTTCCCCCCTCGAGGGAAGGAAAAAAGATTTTTTATCCTTATTTGTAAGCTGGCGAAAAACCCTAGTGTAAAATCTGTCAAAGTCACACCTGGATCTGGAACTGCCTGAATTAATTAACAACTTTTCTATGTGTTAGTGGTGACATATGGCATTTAATTACTGCTTCCAAATCTGCAAGTTTCTCCACTTAGGATTTCAAAACTATTTCTTCACCCTTTCAGTGAATCAGAAAGGAAGTCCAGGATAATGCAATGGAGAATTTTTCTTGGTTTTCCCGAAGTCTTGGCATTTTATAAAAACGGGCATATGCTGTCCTCGGGATATCTGTCCTGAGGTCCATCATTAATGAGAGAGGACAGTATGTACGGATGTACAGGAGGACAGACTAGAAGATATAATGGTCTCTTCTGGCCTCAAACTCTATGCATTTATGAGCACCGTATACGGCATACTTTTCGAAGGAAGAACTTTTAGGGAGGGTAAGTTTATCAGCTAATTATTTTAAGTATCCTCCAGTGAAAGAAATTCATTAGCACTAAGGATGCTGCTCCATTTGATCTAGCTGCAGAAGGCCCCGGGTACCATGAAACGGATTATATTTTGCTGCATCTGAAGGCCAGTGTACTGTCATGCTCTGCAGAGGTCCACCTTCACCCTTCATACAGAGGGATGGAGAGCAAGTCTGGAGGCTGCTACCCATATTCACCAGCCATTCCACCCTGCACAGGGGGACACAAAGTCTGAGAATGCCCTCAGACTGTAGAAGTGGCGAGGTGCTGCTCCACTGCTATTCCATAACCAGGCATGTGCGGGAGAGGTCTGTACCACATCACTCCTATAGAGGTCCGTGACTCAAGCTTGGCTTCTGGAGGTTGATATGAGGATAAGTCAGCAGAGGATTGGCTCCTAAGTGACACATAAAGCACAAGGGGGTCATGGTTCAGGGCCACTTCATGCAAGTGCCCACAAGTCTGGTCGCTCATCCAAACCCTCTTGCATCTGGAAGTCTCACAAGAAGCATGTATGAGATTTACTGTGCTTTCTGCTTCCAATTGGGGCAGAAATTCCCTTCCAATAATATTTTGGCACTGCAAGTCAAGCCCTGGAATTCAAAAGCGAGCAATTTTTTTTTTGTTTTTGTTTAAAAAGACACTAAACAGAACATTGCAAAACCTTCACACAAATTTTAGTTTTGAGTCCAGAACTGGGCAAACCGTTGTCAAACCAGATCATCCAGCTTAATAGGATTTTCAACATTGTCACTCAGCAAATACTGAGTCTTAGAAATCCTGTAAAATTACCAAGGGAACTTCAGAGCTCATATCAAGCTTCATCGGTTCTCATCAGCCCTAGAGAGAGGTTGGTAAACTCAAGAAAACTGCAGTCTGCACTTGCTATAGTTCTCTTATGTCTATGAGCTACTTGGAACTTTTGGTCCACAGGCGTCTTCAAGCTCTTTGAACTTTTAGAAGTTCTAGTTACCAATAAAGCCTGGTGGGACCATTCAGTTCTGATGCATCGCTTCCCATGGTGAGAGAACAAAGGGTTTCAAGAACTCCCCACAAATGCTCAAACACTACCCATCACAAAGACCAACCACCTTGGTTAGCTCTTTAGCTCTTCCCCAGACCTCTCTCTCCTCCTCTGGAGCCCTTTTCACCCTGCGTCCCCTGCTGATGGCATACTATTTCCTTCCAGTGTGCCATTGGCACAGACACAGCCCTTCTTCAGCTGCTGGCACAGTGGCAGCTGGAAAACAGATACCAGCTGTTCCTCTGCATTGCACCACTCTGCTTCCCGTAGCTACCAAACCTCTAGCTCACCGCCCACACCCTGGCTCTGATCCCACTTCCTGTATCTCTAAGGTGCTACGCTACATTCATCACCGTAGCAGTAGCTTTTCTCTCCAGCGTCAAACAGCAAAGAGTTCTCAACGTTCTAAATGTGCATATGAAAATTAGACATCGTTTCCTTTTCTTCAGAAGATTAATCTAAAGGAGGCCATTCCACCTGCTTACTTTCCTTTGGTCAGTTGGGACTTCTGTGCCTTCTCCCCAAATCTGGAAAACTTTTGGAGGAAAAAAAAAGGAACTTAACTGTATTTAGTGCTGGTGAAAGGTTCTGGAGAATGCCTGGGAGAGCAAGGCACTTATGCATGGTACCGGTTGAGGCATTGCAAAATTCCCTACAGTGTTTCGCCAATGTGCTTGAGTCTTGTTCTGGGAGGACACGGTCTAGGGATGAGGGGGTAGTTCATTTTTGGTCAATTCTCTATTGCACTTCTATTCCGTCCATGAGATTTTGGACTGAAATTTACCCTATGTAGAAGGGCCCATATAAGGCTTACGTTGGACTTAATTAGTTCATAGGGTTTTATGCAGTACCCTTGCAGAGGAGAAAAAAATCGGCCATTGAAAACATGATAAATACTTGGGGTGGAAACCTGGTCCCTGTGAAGTCAGTGACAAAACTCCCAGTGACTTCAATGGGGCTAGGATTTCACCCAGTCTGCATACTTAAGATTACTTGGCCTTTCTGCTGAGCATCCAAACAAGGGTGACGACTTCGTGCTAGTGGTGAGTGCTTTTTTGGTTGATGTTATGTGAGCACCTCTCCAATAGAAGAGCAAGTTTCCCCATTTCCATACCATAGGGGCCAGCCCAGTTCCGCTGTGCACCTGGCCAGTTTTTAAAGCCGCCCGCAACGTGGAAAGGAGCACAGTACAAAGTTTTAAGTTCCTTCTAAACTTTAGTCTGTGGAGAAGGCTAAAAATGGGATGCAGTACAATTAGCAAAACCTTGCGGAGAGATTTAGAGCCCAATCATCATTTACATTTGCAGATATGTAGATCTCTAAGTGCATGGCTTCTGCCCTGATTACTAATTAATGAGGTGCAGAGATGCCTGTTGGAAGGCACCGGCTCTGATTATGTCAGCCTTATGGGGAAAAGAAGCTCTTGCAGTCTAAGAAGGAAGGTGATTTCTTTAACATATATTTTAGTAAATTATAGGAATGAATCAAGGGGGAAAAGATGTATAGATTTTTTTTTTTTAAACAAAAACACACACAGGCAGCCCTACCATCAGATTGTCTAATGCCTGGAATATGCAGATCTGATGTATTTTATAGAATTAGCACACTGTATATTTTGCACATCATATATATTCCTTAAGTCAATAAGCTATATTTTGAATAGATATTATTGTCATAATATTTATTTGAGAGAGGTCTAGAGTACCCTACCTAAAACAAAAGTCAATATGGGTCTCATAATTAAGAGCAAAACATCCAGTTTGATCCTAAATTGATCCTAGAGTCAGAGAAGCATCCTTATTCAGGAAGGGTGTTTAGACACATGCTTAACTTGAAGAATATCCCTAAATCCAATTCAGACAGTGCTTAAATACTTTCCTGAATATGGGAATTTCTCTTTCCACTCCCATATTATTTTAATCTCAGATTGTTATCAGCATCAGGTGTTACTGATTGCTAAGAAACTCCACAACTACTGTCAGCAGGATGCCAACAAAAGACAAACACAACAAAACCATGACACAGAGAATGTATAAGGGAGAGAGGAAAGAACACTTCCTCCCTTCTTTAAACTGAAGATAAACGGGAGTTCAAAACAGGTCAACATTTTTCCAGACCTCTCCGCTATAGGGACACTTCCTTAAAGGGTTTTCACTATTTTAAGAGAAAAGCATAAGCTATACCTTGCATTTGTTTTTTAAATGAAAAGACACACACACACATTAAGTAGGAAATAGGATAATCACTTACCATTGGACTTTTCACTATCTGCAGGTTTCATCTGAATAGGATGATGCATCTAAAAATATAAATAAAAAGACAGTAAAGCAGGTTAGACAGTCACAAAGTCAAGCATTTTACTTTTATTGGCACTGCTGACTTTAGTTGCTCAGGGGGCTAAAACGATACACAATCAATATTAAACAGGCTGGCAAGTCAGAAAGATATAAATTTCAAATGATACCTTAATATTGGCTTTTAAATGAAAGTAAAATGTTAAAAGAGTATTTTATAACCAGCTAGTTTAAACCTCCACAATTTATTGGGCCCATAGGACTCATATAAACTTTAATTTGTTGTATTTAGTTTCAGAAGACCTCTCAAGTTACAGCCCTGGCTGGTTTATGGCATGCGTGATTTCTGTTTTACCAGCGTATAACTTTTCTTTTCTTGAGTTTGTTAACAACTAGCAGAACAGAGAAAAAATTCTAAAGTAATCTAAGAACTGCCAGGCAGCAACTGAAACCTACACGTCTTGATTTGTTTGGTTTAACAAATGAACTTTGGTTCGTGATTAAGGAGTGTGTGACAACAACTCATCCAGTACCAAAGGGGAAAAGATCTGTGATTCCCATAGCTGTTGCTTGCTTAGTGACTGGCCTTCTCTTCAAAACACTTTAATCACTCATTCACCAAGCTGCCCTTAGGATGTGGCTACAATCCTGGTCTCATCAAAACTCCTAATGCACTTTTCTTTTTCAACCTGCTTCTAAACAATAAGCAAACTCCCATGTGTAGCCTTATATAGCAATTAACGCACTGTGTTGTACCCAAGGGCAATCTACAATCTCGCATTTGGAATGGCAGACTTTGCCTTTCAGAATGGGGCGCTGCCCCAGGTCACTCCCCTGCAGCTACAAGACTTTTGATCCGAAAACACATTACAAAACAGAGCCTTTTCTTTTTGTTTTTTTTACACCTTCCCCCAAATCTCCACCATGCACTCTTTCTTAGCACAGTGCAAGCACATGACAGCTGTTCAGATGATCTCTCTGATGAGCTTCCAGAGCAATTTCAGTGTACGAATTCCCATTGCACCTCAGTGGTCATTTCTTATTGCTGCTCTCAAGCCTTAAGCACTGATCCTGAAAATTGTTCTGTGGGGAAAGACACCTGAGGTTGCCTAGAGATCTACTGACTTCAGTGGGGCTCTGCACATGTGCTGGGACCTTAAGATGCAGAGCTCATTGCAGGATTGGGGCCATAGACCTTTCTCCAATAATTCCTCCACATTTCACACAGGCATGTTGAATGGTCTGTACTATTATTGCACTCCATGAACGCAACAGGGTTTGCGCTGCCTGAAACCGTCAACTGCTATTCCAGCTTTATTTTAAAAAGATGCCAAATATGGAATTGGAAAAAAAAATCAACAATTAAGCAGAAGATGGGAACCACACAATCACGTCAAATGTGTTCATAGCCAGAGAGGAAGAGAAAATGAGTAGCATGTGTGGTTTTTGGTAATGGTATTTAGTTTTCGATGCTGTACTTGCTGGATTCCTTGGCAAGTAGAGAACATTCCTGTGAATCTTCCATAGAATCTACTCAAAGTTCAGAATGTCCCACAAATCAATACACTCCTTACACTGCTTGCAAAACCTCTTCTGTTTCATTCTCTACAGTGTCTTAAGGAACAAGCAGAGCCATATGGTGCACGTAGTCACTGGGATGTGTAAAATACTTTATTTTAACAATCCCGTTCTCTTTGATCCATTTATTTCCCAACCGGACTCTAACAGCCCCGTGCCTGTCTGCCATCTTTCTGATTTTCATCTAATATCTAGGGAAGGGGAATGTCTTATGCTTTGTTTCCTTTACCTGATGTTTAATTGTTATCTTGACATCAGCAATATTAAGGGAGATTTAGGTTAGATATTAGAAAAACTTTCTAACTACAAGGATAGTGAAGCCCTGGAACAGGTTACCTGGGGAGGTTGTGGAAACCCCTTGGAAGTTTTTAAGAACAAGTTTGACAAACATCTGTCAGGGATGGTCAAAGTATACTTAATCCTGCCTCAATGTGGGGTGGGTCGTGGTGAAAGAGGTGGACTAGATGACCTTGTGAGGCCCCTTTCATTCCTACGTTTCTATGTGCACTGCAGGGGAATTTAAGTTCATGGGAAAGTGGGAAAGTGCATCGCCCCCATCAAGGGAAAAAAATCAAACAAGAAAAAAGTGGCATAACTCGCTAAAATGAGCCCATTATCTGCATTGCCTCTTTGCTAAGCATTTGAAAGATGAAGTCATCAATGAGCGAAAGGAATTGTTTAGGGTGATGCAAGAGGGTGTAACTAGGAGCAATGAGCAAAGGAAAATTTAGGCTGACTGTTCCAGATATATTGTTTGACATTAAGGTCTGTAATGTAGAACAGTCTCCTGAGGGAAGTGCTGGAATTAGCATTGCTTGGGTTATGTCAGATTGACAAAGCCCTGGAAAACATGAAGTCATGAAAAACCAACCCAACCCACCTATTACACTAGATGGGGAATCAAACTATCTTCCTGTCTTTATACAGCACTTAACACTACAGCATCTAAGCAGATAGATTTAGACCAGAGCTGGTTCCATCTGTAATTTCTACAACTTGATGGTTCTAAAGTGAAGCATCTTTTTAGTTCCATCCTAGAGAGGTTAGACATAGAGATCAATTGTGGATCAAGCTCATAAGGAAAGTGTTCTTTGTAGCGGTTACCATCAAAAAGCCATAATCGTTTGGCACTTTATCACCCAAAGTAATGTTTTTTCAGGGAGCCCAGAACTATGAGTGGCCTTCTTACCCCTCTGCCTTAGCAACAGAGAGACTTGCTGGAACTAAACTAAGGGCTTGTCTTCACTATCGGGGTAAGCCGACCCAAGTTACGCTACTACAGCTACGTGAATAACGTACCTGGAGTCGACGTAGCTTAGGTCGACTTACCGTGGTGTCTTCATTGCGTTGTGTCGACGGGAGATGCTCTGTGGTCGACTTATCTTATTCTTCTCAGAGAGGTGGAGTACCAGGATCGACCGGAGAGCGCTCTGCCGTCGATTTAGCTGGTCTTCACTAGACCCACTAAATCGACACCCACTGCATCAATTGCAGCCGGTAGTGAAGACAAGCTGTGAGTGACAGCTCCCTGTCACCCCAGTCTGTTAGCCAACCATACAATTTCCTCTAAGGCTCTGCCAGCTTTTACTATGCCTTGCAGATAACACTTGACGCAACTTAGTTCCCGAACATCCTGGAAATGGGTTCTTCACCAATATCCAGCCCGTTACTAGACACTCTCAGAAATTACCAAGTCTGCGGTCTCCAGAGCGAGAGTTATGCACACCAGCCTGCTAGCTGAGCTGAGGAGTCACACTTTTGTATTAATACACTGAGAAGAACTTATAGTAAAACCAAGAATAAGTTTATGAATAGAGCAGAGAGATACTAAACAAAGAGAATAGAAACAGATATGGTTACAAATAAAACAAAATATATAAGTTCTAGTCTGGTAGAAGTAGGTTAACTCTAGCAAATTCATCTTCTCTGAAGCAGCCTTTTCCCTAAAACCTTTTCTGTAGAGCTTGCTGGTATTTGGTCTGGAGAAGAACTCTGTGTGGCTCAAAAGCTCGTCTCTTTTACCAACAGAAGCTTGTCCAATAAAAGATAGTACCTCACCCACCTTGTAACTTTCCTCATGACATAAATACCACTGATTTGCTATTAGGCCACTAGTTTGTCCTTTTTGCAAAAATAATTAACAGTGCTATTCATGACTCAGTTGTGACTGTGGTTTGCACTTAACTTCAAAATTTCTCAATCAAAACTGTGGGCCCAATTCTCTCCTCACCAAGCTGTAAATCAGGAGTAACTCCATTGTACTCAATAAAGTTACATTAGGGCCAACTAGCATGAGATCAGAATCAGGCCCCGTGAGCATAACAGGCAGACTATCCACAGTAAGATGGGTACAAAACACAAAAACAGGGCATCTGGAAAAAAAAAAAGGGTGGTAAAAAACATTACCCTGTTAGTTTCCTTACATGAGCGGGCTCATGTTGAAGCTTGTTTAACCCTGGCCATCACCAATTGATAAGTTAGCAACCTTTAACACTAGATTCAATAAAACATGCCATTTATAACTTGAAATGGGTTTTACAGAGTCACTGGTTCGCATCTCATTATTAAACTCATTGCTGACCTCTAGAGACAGCTGCCGTGACAATACATATTATAAGCTCTCTACCCATAAAATATTTAAAAGTGTGTGAGTGTGGAGGGGGGAGATTGAATCTGGAAGAGGTGTGCAGTGAATAAGAAAATTAAAGGGGGCAGAGACGAGGGCTAAATAGGTACTTTCCGTTCCCTCTACAATGAGCAAAAGGGAAAATAATCGGAGCATTTTATATCTTGCTTGTATAACTGTAGGCTATAAAGTAATAAAATAGCTGCGCTTTCCCAGGTCCTCCAAAAGATTACAGATGATATAAACCTGTTTCAAATTAGATGCCACCCACTAGAATCATGTCATCTACTGAAATGAAGGATTTCATGTCTTATCAGAAAGCAGTTATTGTAGATATACATCAGAAAGCCATACACTTATGTATCTCCAGGTGAGTGATTTCTCAATATGTCATGCTTTCATAACTAAAAACAGTGGAGACGTTTTTCTGTGGCTTGAAGGAAGCATTGCTTATAAAAGTGCAGTATTTATGAGAATGATTTTGCAGTTAATAAATAGGGAAGAAATAAAGTAATGCAGGTAAAAAAATTTGCACATCAATGACACCCTGAATGCAGCTCAGATTCCATGGTAAAAGGAAACAACTGGTATTTTCTATCAGCAAGGTTGACTGTAGAACAACCTCCCAAGAGATCTGGTAGAAGCCCCATGTCTCGAGCTCTTTGAAACCAGACTGGAGAATATACTGTAATAGAGAACTATCCTGCATCGTCAAGGTTTTCTGTAGCTCCACTGATGTGCATGATGCTGTACAGACAACAACAATACCTAGCTCTTATGTAGTGCTTTACAGAGGAAGTA